ACAATTAATGTATAGAGAATTGAAAATGGGAAATCGACTACAGCACAAGCCAAAACTTTGTTACAAAAATTTCCTTAAAGAGTCACTATACAAGTGCAATATTCGTCTAGATAACTGAGAGACTCTAGCTGAAGACCGAGTTTCTAGGAGATCTGATATTGCTGATGGCGTCAAGATCTTCCATGTGGCATCACAAAAACAAATAGGCAGAACTGAAGTGATGAGTTCAGAAGGGATCCCTGAATTGCCGTAAGGTGACAACCTGGCCATGTGCCAAATGCAGTCGGTTATGTCTGTCCAAGGAAGGACTGTTTAGTCACCAGAAATCACATCAGCACCAATAGTCTATTGCATATGGCGATTTCATATTGGCATGCTTTGAATGCCTGACCTGCACTAGAATGTGCAAGTCCAGGTCAGGCTTGACAAGGCATATAAAAAGACACATTGGAAGTGATGATATTCAAAGACAATTTCCACCACCCATAGATGATTTGACATGCCATATATGTAACAAGAAATGCAGATCAATGGCTGGCTTTATAAGCCACTTTCATTCACACAACAAATGAATGCAGTGTTGTGAGTGAAGCTTAACTGATGTACAAGACATGTCAGTGATGGCTATACTCGCTTTGTGAGTCAGCAGTCACTATATATATATATATATATATATGTGTGTGTGTCTGTGTGTGTTTGTATATTATGTGTGTATATTATATATATATATAAAATGTGTGTTTGTTTGTAACATGCATATATATATATATATATATATATATATATATATATATATATATATATACACACCATGCATGCTGGGGTAGCTGATAGCAACTCAGATTGAAGAATCTGAGATCCAAGTATTAGGCATATGAGGGTCAAGCAGGTCAGTTCCTAGTAACCTACAGCCCAGACACCAACACATATGATTTAATTATATTGGTGAAGACTTTGTGCAGAATAGAGCATTCACTTCAGAATTCCCTGTAGATTATCCAGCTCAACATACACCTGATGAAGTCCAAAATGCACAATCACTGAAACGTTGTGATAACAACAACAAAGATGAGGACAATAGTCTGAATATAAATAGTGTAAATAATGATAACTTCTCATCCAGAAATTGAAACAGAATAACACATGAGTCAGTCAAATACAGAATCCAAGAAAACTTGGCGATAACAACAAAGTTGAAAACAATAGTCCACATATAAACAGTTTGAATAATGATTCAGTGTTAACAACAACCAAGATGAGGACAATTGTTTGCATGTAAATAGTGTAAATAATGGTAACTCCTCATCCCAGAAATTCAGACACAAATCACTTTTTCCCTGTTTGTCATAAAGTGTAAATGAGCCAATGCTATATAAATAACAAAAGCTTCGTACAGACATGTCACCGTTAATTTTTTTCAGAAATTTAAACTTACCTATTATGGGCAACATCAAGTGTTTGTACTTCACTTCACAAGGATCACTTCCTGCATTCATTGGAGCAATGACTGAGGATAAATAAGTTATTATAAAAAAAATATACAAAAGACAATTAGAAAAGTTTTTTCTAGCATTTGAAAGTGCTCAAAAACAGTAGATGTAGCAGGTCTATTCCATCAGGAATTCTGAAATTGCTCTTGCAGAAAATAGCACTTATATTATAACCTGCTGATGTTTATCCCCACTCATGGCTCTAATGAATACAGGATTGATTTGTTTGTTTGTTTTTCCAGTTTATCAACCCTTTGTGGGCTATTTAAAGCTGACACATATTTTGGATTGTAAGGTGTTGCTTACAGTACCAAATATTCCCAAGTGGTCACTTGTAAATAATGATAAATCATCATCTCAGAAATTTAAACAGAATTCACTTTTTTCCTGTTTATTATAAACTGTAAATGAGCTAATGCTGTATAAATCACTTAAGTATCACACGGACATGCCACCATCAAGTTTTTTTCATAAGTTCTTCCTCATTTTTTATGGTCAATGTAAGGAGTTTGTGCTTCATATCAGAAGTGATTACTGTATTTGTTGGAGCAATGACTGTGAATAAACCATACCAGGTTTAAAAAAAAAACAAGACGCAGATAAAACAAGTAGAAATTTCTTAACAGTGTTTGAAAGGGCTTTAAAAACAGCTAATGCAACAGGTAGCACTACCAAACTGCCATGACAGGTCTGTGCAGCGACCCAGGAAATCTGAAATTGTTCTCATGGAAATTAGTAACAGATTTCTAAATTGCTAAATTTAATAGAATATATTGGTATCAGTACTTTAAAGCTCAAATTGATTCTGCCTCATTTCATTTGGATCAAATGAATGTGTTAATAAAAGTATTTTAAGGCTCAAATTGATTCTACTTCATTCCACTAGGATCAAATGAATGTGTTAATAAAAGTATTTTAAGGCTCAAATTGATTCTACTTCATTCCACTAAGATCAGATAAAATAAATGATATTGTGAAAATATAAATTTATTTCTCATTTTATTTTTCAGATCCTGAGATAAAGCGTTACCGTGCCCATGAAGAATTTGGAGACAGAAGAGATAAAGTTTTTGAGGCCCGTACCTATTTTTACAAAGATGAAGAGGCTTGTGATGAAAATATGAATATCTTTCTTGATTGCATTGATGCAGTCTCAGGTAATATTTTGTTTCATCAATTATTTCTTTACCTATTTTACCGAATTTCATTTTATTTGATGGTCTTAAATGATGGTGACCCCTGATTTAGATCAACAATTCTTATTGCTTTTTCTGCCTATTCATTTCAATAAAACCTTTTTTTAACATATCATTTTTCTGTATAGGTGCAACAGATGGATCTGGATTTGCTGCTATTAAATTGACTGCACTTGGACGTCCACAATTATTGGTAAATGTCAAGATTTTATGACACTAAATTTCTGGGCTCACTCCTAGTTTGTTTTAATCACCTGAGTGAACCATTTTTTACTTTCCATCAGCATGGCTGATGCTAACCTCTAGGACAGTGACTCATTGCACCTTCTTGGACTAACGATTTCTACCTGAAGTGGAAAGATTATATTGAATTAATTTCTAAGTTTGCTGCTAAGAAAATTGGTTTACTGTGTCGTGCTAATGATTTTTTTATCTTAAGTGTTTATAAACCTGCCTTTTTATATTGCTGCCACATCTGGTCTGGTGCTTCTGATATATATTTAGAGATTCTTAATAAAATCCAAAGAAGAATCTGCAATGTAATTGGTCCTGATCTGGCATCTTGGCTTCAGTCCCTTTCCCACAACCATAACATAGATTCCCTGTACCTTTTCTATAGATACTTTCATGGCAATTGTTCAGATGAGCTTTGGTACATATACTTTATGAATTTAAGTGCAGTACTAGATTGGTGCTAAGGCCTAATGATTTTACAGTTGAATTGGCTAGATGCAACCATAAATTCTATGCTACCGCACTTCTGGCTTGTGAAACTCTCTTCTGGCTTCTTGCTTTCCAGTCAACTTTGATCTTCAAAAACTTAAATGCAATGTCAGTCGTTATTTTTTGTTTTCTTAATTCCTGTTCTTTTAGCGTTTTCTCTCCCTATAATTTTTTTTCTCATATTCTCTTACACTCAATAACCCCCTTGCATGTTAGTGGCTTTATTGCCTTACTTGGAGTGAAATTATTAAAAGAAAATACACACACATACATATATATATATATACTTTAAAAATCAGGAGGTCAGTTGAATCAGCTACCTTGTTTTCAACCTTATGGTATCCTCAGGTGATTTTTATCAAAAAAAATTTGATAAAAATCGCCTGAGGATACCATAAAGTCAAAACCAAGGTAGCAAATTCAACTGACCTCCTGATTTTTAAAGTTAAAAGCTCTACATGTCATTTTATTTTTTCACATGTATCTTTTTTATACTGTTTCCTGGTCTGATTCAACTCTGACCCATAACCTTTCATGTATTTTCATTTATATATATATTTATATATATATATATATATATATATATATAGCGCCAGTGTTTTTGACATGCCAGTCTAACTGAGCATCCCAGAAGCGGCAAAGTTAGCAGTGAAGGCTGCACCCTTAAAAATGTTTGTTACATAGCTTTGTTCTGGGGGAATGTTTGTGGGTAGTTGGGACCCCACCCTTTTTGCAGACAAAACTCTTGTTTTGAATTTGCTTACAGTAATCTTGAACTTTGTTTACCAATGAAGATATGGTTTTATGATCAATTATTATAAACAAAAATTAATAAGAAAAATGTTTGTTGTTTTTTGTTTTTTTTTAACTGCAGAAAATATTTTATTTATAACGTAAGTTATGATAAACTTCATACTACTCAAGGTTTTTGAAAAATTAAAAAATTGAATTATTTAGATTTTAAATATTTAAAAAAAACAAACTTGTATCTTTGAATACTGTATATTTTCCTTGCATTAGAGCTGACTACATTCTCATCTCTCTCTCTCTCTCTCTCTCTTCTGAAACATTGTCCTCATCATAATTATTTGTGCTGATTGATTTATTCATTCGTTTTCTATGGCTTATCAACTCTTTGCAGGTTATTTAAAGCCAGAAAATATTTTTAGATTGTAAGAATCTGTACACTCCGGCCTTCTTCAGGTGGTTGGAATGTAGAACTGAACCCTTTATTTCACTCACTGGAGTAGACTATTCTAGTTCCACATGCCATGTTTAATGGATGTCAGTTATCAGTTATCTCCTGTTAATTCCCCTCTCAATGTTCTCCACTGCCTTAACCGGGTATTGAACTCACACACTTTGGGTCCTGTCACTGGATCTAACTAACACCTTTATCCACTGTACCATGTGTCCTTGTTCGCTATGTTTGTATTTTATAATACGATATTAATATGTGAATATTACATGCATTATTATTGGATACAGTTAAATAAAACATCAGTTTTATGAAAATCATGTTTATTTTAAATACAGTTGTACTTTCTTACTACAGTAAATGGATATTATAGTTTGGTCAATGGGTCAGCAGTACATACACTAATTTTATATCTCGTGTGTGATGCAACTCCCTTAAAATTAGGTCTCCAAAAGTCGCATATGTGAATATCTATGGTATTTTCAGTACCTTCTCCAGAAATTATTTTTCATTTGCATCACACATTTAGCTTTTTAAAAAGAAAATACATAATAAGTCAAGAATGTTACTTATTTTCTTCTATTTTCAAGGTAAGAATCACTATTTACATTAATTATATTTGGACTATTGTCCTCATCTTTGTTGTTGTTATCAACATTTTGGCCGTTATGCCCTTTGGCCTTCCCCATTCGTATATCAATCCAAGTAACCTACAGAGAATTCTGAACTGAATTCTTCATTGAGGAGTTATCACTATTAATACTATTTACATCCGGACTATTGTCCTCATCTTTGTTGTTGTTAGCACAATGTTTCAGCTGTTGTGCCCAACGGCTTTCCTCATGTGTATATCAATCTGGCTAACCTACAGATAGAACCCTTTAAACTGTTCTTATTCTACTGTTCATGTGTAGGGATATCTTGTCTAGTTCTTATTCTTATTAATACTGCTCAGTTTCTACTGAGAGATTGAACTTACAACCACTATGTCACCAAATTCACAAATCATCACTTTAATCCACAAGTCCATTGTCCTGTAGGACAATTTATTGTAGTGAACTTGGAGCCATAAACCTACCCTGACTGCTGATTAGAGTTCTTACTGCTGTCTGTCATGACTTGACTTCTGCTGCAATTGAAGACTTGCTGCCTTTTGTTTTCCTTTCTTTATTAGTGGCTCTCATATTGTATTTATTTTTATGCTAGGCCTACTAAGGAGATCCTTATAGTCTAGCATATGAGCTGATTCTTTCAGGCATCTAACTCTCCAGAAACTGCGACTGAAATTAAGAACCACTAATAATAATAATAATAATAATAAAACTAAGAAAATACATGAAAATTATGAGAATTTAACATGTATTTTTACTGGTTAGCAGAATTTCTGTCAAAAAACACTCAATAGATAATCAGATCTATAATATTAATATTCAATAAATTATGAAAAAGTTCAAGTGACTTACCTGCTTAGCCGAATCAAACATTGCATGTCAAAATACTCCTCATGGCCAGATGTTTACTAAATTATTGAAAAGATGTCTATTTTGAAAGATTAAAAAGAAAATAAATAAATGCCTGCTAATATGACAGCTGTCATAATATGAAACACAAACAATTTTCTTGAATTGTTCAATGGTAAATATTTTTACTGCCAAAAAGCAAATTAAATTTTAAGCACACCCAGTACTAAACAAAGACTTGCTTTTTATTGCATCAAGGGTTTGAGGATTTTCACTATTAACAAACACCTGTAATTCAATGGTATTTTACTTTGACAAGCTGTCACATGTTTTTATTTTGTTGTTTTTTTTTAGCATAAACAACTGTTTATACATATAAACAGTATGAGAATAGAAACTAACGCTCAGTTTCATGCTGTAAGGGATAATAAGGCCCTGTGATACTTTTTATGCAGTCTCTATGAATAGACACTATTGGGGCTTAAAGAGAAGTGAAAAAAGGGTCAAAGATAGCATCCCCCTACTTTCTTTCAGCTTTATATCAATGATCTGCCCAAGAACACTCTTAGATTTCTTCTTTTTTTTTTTTTTTTTATCAATTCACCCCAACTAAGGTGATAATGCCACTAAGATACAAAGGTCTGCGGTGAGTGAAAGAGAATGAGAAGACTTTAGAAGGAACTGGAAACCCATTCCTAAACAGGAAACAAGGGATAAACCTTTACACCTGTTCAAAAAACCAAGAAAGAGTATGAACTGGACAATAGGCAAACATATCTATTCCTATTGAGGAGAAAAATAAATAAATAATTAGTAAATAAAAATTTCAGAGTTCAAACGGAGACTTTAGAAGTATAGAGTAGATTTTAGAAGCAACTGGTAACCCATTCCTAAACAGGAAACAAGGGATAAACTTCTAGTCCTGTTCAAAAGACTGGGGAGATGTGTAAATCGGTCTTTTGTCTTTTAGTAAATATATATGCAAAGGATATCATACACCTCCAAATATTTTGATGACCAGTGCCTGGCAGTTGATCTCTCCTTTGATTTAACTTTCACAGCTAAATGGGGAAAAAGACTGGCTGATATCATTCAACATATCCAAAAGTAAACTTGTAATATATCATCGCCACTGAGCAGACCCCAAACTTGTACCAATCCTGATGAGTGGTCATACCCTCAAAGAGGCTCCTTACCTTGAACGCCGACTGGGGGTAAAGTTCATTCCCTGACCCTCAGATGGAATGCATATGTCCATGCCATTGCAAATGAAGCAGGAAGAATGGTCTGTTCCTTGTATCCTTGACAGATCAGACCAAGAATAGAGTATTGCTGCCCAAATCCACAATGTCCAGCCTCAACAGAGTCTAAAAGTGCTTACACGGCCTTGTGGGTGATGAATTATTCTACACCCTGCAATCCAAAATTTTGCCTGCCTTTCACTACAATATCACTATTACTCCTTAGTACTACCTTCACAGCTAGAACTTGCCATACCATGTTCACAGTGGAAAACCATCCCCATATTCTTTGTGCTCCTTTAATGAAAATCAAATCCCACTCAAACAGCTTCTTCCCCTAGACCTGTTAATTTGTGGAACAAACTCTTGAGAGAATGCTCCCTTAACAACTACAATCTTGTTCTCTTTAAGTCTAGGGTCAACATATATCTATCCTACTTGTCCTCATAATGTTCTCTTATTTCCCCCACTTCCTTACAATCTCACTCAGTAACCCTCTACCTTGAGTGGCCCTCAGGTCTTTTATTTGATGAATTATCATCTGGCCCTGAGAAGTATTTCAACATGCACTGTTTGATTCGGTTAACCAGATAAGTCACTTGAACTTTTCCTCAATTCTCCAGTTTTTTTGTTTTTTTTGTTGTTGTTTACACTTTTTGTGATACCCATTTGTAGGAGAGACTTTGTAAATCACAGATACAATAATAGTAATGCCTTCGAAAAAGTCTCTGTCAGATGCCGCTAATTCCCATATATATATTTTTCCTTTACCCGTCTCATGATCTAATTATTTCAAGATGAGGTTGACTGTGCTTGCTCTCTGGCAATCAGTGTTCAAATCCAAGTGTCAGCAGCGATAATTTATTCCTATACTAACAGCATGACCCAGTGTTGCCCGTGATTGATTCAAAAATCATACAACTCATACAGCAATCGCTATCACTTAAAATATTTTTGCCCTTCCTTGCCTTTAAAGGAGTGCCCTTTGCCGTGCTGATGTTGCTACATGCCTTACTTCTTGCCTATGTCACACTGAAAATTTTTTCTAAGCTCTATACTAAACATTAAATCTGTTACAAAAAAAGAACTAAACAAAATGAACACAAAACGATCAGCTTTAAAAAAGGACTTGTAACTGGAAAAACCGAATGAAAAAAGAATGTTAACAACAAATACTTTTTCACACCCAACCCAGTTCTGTGGAATCAGAATCAACGTTGAGTTTAAGCAAGCGAATGAGCCAATTGGAGTAAAGTGCCATGCAGATTTAAATTTTTCCCACTTGTGACGAATGCAGTATTGATTTTTTTTGCATGCTAGTTAACATTCGTGTCAGTCAGCTGTTGGCTCTCACACTGGCCAATAGAATCTTCCTGCCTATTCGTGGCAGCCAGCTATAGGCTCTCACCAGTAGAAAATAGCCGCAAACTACATGAAAACTGCTGTAGAAGCATGAAAAAATCGATTATTTCCACTATCGATGGGAGTTGGGAAATTGAAAGTCGGTCTTGGCCTTCCCACTAACTTGGAGCAGATGCATGTAAATTTTGGTGCAAATCCGTCGAAAATTGCGGCTGTTCATTCATCTCACACACACACACACACACACACACACACACACACATCCTGCCTTTTATAGATAGAGATGACAACACCTTTTTTTTTTTTTTAAATATTTATGATCTTGAGTTCATTATTTTATTTTTATATACTTTCTTCAGTTCAAAAGTTTTGTATTTAAAATAGTTTATAGGTTATTAGTTATTTTGTCTTTAGAGTTGTAATGTGGTTGTATGTAGTGAAGTAGGAATATGTTTTTATGTCTGTACTTGAAAATGAGTTCTGATGTTTTGTTTAGAAATTTGTATTTTGAGAGGTGATTATTGATATGTTTTGCTCCTAAGCAATGATTAAAATATTTTGTTTTGAGTGTTTTGTGCTCATTTGATATGGAAATAAACTAAGACAACAACAAAATGAAATTAGTTCCTTTCTTTTTTTTTTTCTTTTTTCTTTTTTTTTAAATCAAGCCAGGTGATAAATAAATCCACTAAGACACAAGGGGTTACTGAGTGCGAAAGAATATGTGTAAAAGAAAAACACTATTAAGGAGAGAGAATAATAAAAGAGGAATTAAGAAGACAAGATAACAATTGACATTGCATTTAATCATTTCATAACAAGCAAGGCAATAAATCTACTAAGACACAAGGAATTACTGAGTGTGAAAGAATATGAGAAAAAGAAAAATGTTATTAAGGAGAGAGAACAATAAATGAACAAGAATTAAGAAAACAGAAGATAACAATTGATATTGCATTTAAATTTTTAAAGCTCAAAGTTGACTGAAAAACAAGACTCAAGAAGAGAGTTTTTATATATATATATATATATATATATATATATATATATCTTATGTCGCGAGTTGGAATCATATTTTAAATAAATAATTATTTTTATGCTCTACTTTTGTATCGAGCACTATTTTTTAAAAATAATAACTAAAATACTAAGGAACTTTGGATTATTTACCTAACTAGTTCCTTCCTATTTTCTATATATTTCCACATATATATATATATATATATATATATATATATTAATGGGTGTTGCCAATAATCAAAAGAAAACTAGGTAAATGTAACAAATATTATGGTATGAAGGTAAGTTTACCATTCATCCATGCTTCAAATATTGTTCCTATATCTGGTCTAGTGCTCCTGCTATATATTTAGAGATTCTTGTTAAAATCCAAAGAAGAATTTGCAATGTTATTGGTCCAGACATGTCATCTCAGCCTTAGTTATTTTTCCACTGCCATAATGTCACTTCCCTCTGCCTTTTCTATTGGTCCAGACTTTGAGATATTATTTTGGTGGCTGTAGTAAGAATGGTAAATAAAAATGTGTTGTTTTAGTGTAAGGAATACTGTGGTTTTTTATGGGTTCAGTAATCGTGGCTAGCTAAGTTGATAAGGCAGATTGAAGACCAGCCTTTCCTATCCTCCCACTTTTGGCCTTGTGCTACATTGTATTTTTCAAAATAAATATTGCTTTCCGCTATGGTACCTGGACTTTATGAATTTAAGCACAGTACTAGATTGACATCATTTTACATTTGAAATGGCTAGATGTAACCATAAGTCGTATGATAACAGTTTCTTCACTTGCACTTCTCGCTTGTGGAACTCACTTCCGGCTTCTTGTTTTCCAGCCAACATTGATCTTCAAAAGTTTAAATGCAATGTCAATTGTTATCTACTGTCTTCTTGATTCCTCTTCTTTTTATTGTTCTTGCTCCTTAATAATCTTTTTCTTATATCTTATCTTATCTTATATCTTAGTAGCTTTATTGCCTTGCTTGGAGTGAAATGATTTTTTTTTTTTAAATATAATAAGTAATAATCTGAAAAATTTTGCAATTTTTTTCTTATTTATTCTGAGAAAAGGAACTCAACCATCGTATTTCCAGGATTTGTCCATTGAATGTCAAAAATCTATATGACCTACAATTGAGTTGTTCTTGTTAGAAATTGGAATTATACTCCAATAATAAATTGACTAATATAATAAATTGGTAGACAAAGCTCGAGATATCCTTGTTCTGTTTTTAATTTTCCCTTTCTCTTTTTTATTTTACTCAGCTGCAAATGTCCGAGGTGCTTGTGTCAACACGTGCCATGTTTGACCGGATTGCTGGTCATAATGATCAAGAAGTCGTTCTCAAAAGTTTTCGAGAAAAAGACTTCCGGAAATCCCTTAAGGGCATGGGCATCCCAATGAGTCGTGATGAGACAAAGAAATGGTTCACTTTCCTTGACATTGGGCAGGATGGGTAAGTAGAAGCAGTTGCCTCCATAGGGTGGTCATGCTGCTTTGAGATTTGGTTACCATTTAGCTGACTCTTCACTCGTTACTGCATGACTTGTTTTGCTGCTGGTTGTGACGAAAGCAGATAGCATAGACACGCATACACGCATCTATTAAGGTTAATTTCTGCCTAGCAACAGAATAAAGGTCACGTGGAAGTCTTATGACATTTTGGGAAGGCAGGTCAAAAGGGTGACTGACCCAATTACCCGTAGTGACAAATGTCTAGACAGAAGCTAGACAGGGGACTGATGTAAGCTGGAATTCGCGCCAAAACTTACGACACGTGATAGAGATTCACTTGAGAATCAGTTGCTATCTTGACTTTGAAGAAGCAAGACCTGAAGTTGAAGCGCTGATAGTTTATGAACAGAAAGATAAGACTCATTTGATAGTGATGGAACTTATCCAGTTCAACCCAGGCAACTCTGGACAAGAAATATAACAAGAAGTATTCCTGTTCGATAACCCCAAATTGAAGACGCAGAGAAATTTATATGCTGAGGATTAAGCCTGCGTTTAAAGAAAAAGGAAAACCAGAGAAGAAAGCATATACCTCTGTTATAAGCTGAATTGTGTAAAGAAGAAGAAGGAAAGAAAGAAGAAAACCAAAGAGAGGAAGAAAGTGTACATCCCTGTTGCAGTAAGTCGGGTTTGGGAACCGAACTGTCTACAGAAGAAAAAGGAAGGAAAGAAAAAGGCAAAACAAAGAGAGGAAGAAAGTGTATACCTCTGTTACAGCCGGACAGTGTGTGAAATTGTGTTTGTATCAAGAAAAGAAAAGAAAGGACAATAATAAAAAAAAGAGAACTGAATATAAAAGATGAGTAATCATATTTTGGACCCGTAGTAGAAAGATATACATACATCCATGAATATTATATTGCAAACACCTTTCCACATGTCAAAATAATAATTGTAACTCCTATCCCATCTCTTTTGTGTATGCGTTGGCTTCTGCATTCAATTCATAGTAATTCATACTTATATTTTTGTATGTTCGGGTTCAGTTGAATCCATTTGGTGTTAGGCGAATTTTGATATCCCAACGTAAGTTTTGGGATCTGGTCGTCGGATCTTTTAACTCATACTTACATTTTCTTTTATTTTGATATTTGTATATTTGTACATATTAAAATTCTTGTATCAAAAAAATCGCTAAGCCTTATAGTTCATCCTTGTATTGTGGATCAGTATTCGTGTTGAAAACGAAGCGAACCTGGGAAAAGATTACTGTTCAATTATCCTAATCGAACAGTGTTCTTAAAAATATTTTTTGTTTACCAATTGTCCATTGTCATGATCTGGGAGAGATAGCTGGTATCTCTCCACAGGTGTGAGAATGTATATATCTTCTAGTCGGCGTATGATTGCCTTATAAACCCATTTGTCAACTAAGGCATATGACATGGTATTGTGTTGGTGACACAGTTCCACTTGACTTAGCTAGCGTTTGTCTGTTCACAACTATTCACTACTCAGTCACATATTTTTGATCTTAGAGGGTGAGAAGATCGCTGTTGGAGTGAGGACAGATCATTTGGGAGCTACATAAAAAACAAGAATCCTTTGGAATAAAGAATTAAATCAGGTTAAAAATATAATGATTTGATTTCTATATGATTTGTTGTATACAGTGGTTTTAACCCCTCCTACTTCTTATAATCAAATGACACTGGGACCCCCTTTGGAGTCTGCAGTTTGTTTTAGTAGTAACATAAATTTCTAAGTTCTGGTCTTCATGTCTGGCACAAGGTCTTTGGTCAGGACTTAATACAGATTCTCCAGCTTATATGGAGTCCTGTGTCCAGGAGTGGGGTTGACTAGAGTCTGGGTTTGTTTTGGATTCTACCCTAAGTATCAAACTTTTCTAAATTTCCATATGTAAAAATACATTTACTCAAGTGGTTTTCCAAATTTAGGAATATCCGCCCCCCCCCTTTTGAGAGTGGTCAGAGGAATTAAGCCACCCCTTAACTCCTACTCTCTTTACACTTTGCTTCTTATCATTGCTCTATATAGGCAGTGCTAATCTTGCTCGCTCTCACTCACTCACTCACACACACAAAACAGCCAACCTCAGCTTGGTTTCCTGGGGCTGGAGTGATGAATTAAACTTCCAGATGGCGCAGCGAAGGCAAGAGATTTTCAGTCATTACTCTTTATCTGTCAGCTTGTCCCATGCTGTGATTTCTCAATCAACCAGACCACTCAAGAATTGAAAAAGAAAAACAAATTATTTCCACTCTTCTTAAAAAGAAAGTTTATCTTTTCTCTGTCTATGCATTTTTTTACAATCAGCAGACCACACAGCCTTTTTTGTCCATGGTCACTTCAAAATAGAATTAATATTTTTTTACCCTTTTTATCCAAGGGAATCCAAATTAATGTTTGGATATAAAATTTTCTCTGGATGAATGTCTCCAAAATTATAATGATGAATGCATGGGGTTCTTTTCTTCTGGGTGGTTCATTTGAAACATGTTTTTATTTTATCTAATCCAGGGGAATCATGAATGCTATTTCACTGGCCACCCAGATTTCTCTATTGACATGTTTTTATTTTATTTGACATCTTCACGGATATCTTAATTGCCTTCTTCTTATCAGTGAGATATGGGGAAGGACAGGCAGTCTTAGTTTTGTTCACTCTTACTGAATTTCATCTAGTTAAATCTGGGTTTGGTTCTGCTTGGAATTATCTCAAAACATGATTTTTCAACATATTTTGTTTTTAATTTTCTTAACTTTTCAATCCATCTTCCTGCAATTTCAACTATTATCATTATGCTAGGAGACGCTCTCCCATTCCTTCTTTTTTTCTCTTTTTGTTTGATTAACCTCTGGAGATCCCAGTGTCATAGGAGTGTGAAGCCACTGCTCTCAAATCTCATATGCTCCGTGAGTAGTGTGGGGCCACATCTCTCAAGTCCCGTAGGCTCCGTGAGTAGTGTGGGGCCACATCTCTCAAGTCCCGTAGGCTCCCTGAGGAGTGTGGGGCCACATCTCTCAAGTGAGGAGGCTCCCTGAGGAGTGTGGGGCCACATCTCTCAAGTCCCGTAGGCTCCCTGAGGAGTGTGGGGCCACATCTCTCAAGTCCCGTAGGCTCCCTGAGGAGTGTGGGGCCACATCTCTCAAGTCCCGTAGGCTCCCTGAAGAGTGTGAGGCTTCAGCTCTCATCCTGAATAATCCCTGATAAGTATGAGGCCCCAGCTCTCAAATTCCAGTAGACCTCCTGATAATTATGGGGCTACAGCTCTCAAAGTCCAGTAGGCCCCCTGAGAAATATGGAGCCACATACCTAAATTCCATAGACCCCCTGAGAAATATGGGGCCACAGCTCTCGAGTTCAGTAAACTTCACTGGTTATCAACCATGGCTAAAAAACCTATTGTATCCTATTATTGCTTAAATTGATAGATAAGAGATCAGTTCACACCTCTTCTCAAGATAATTTGCACATAAATGAATGCAACAAACTCAACTAGAATTCAATCTCAGATCTCTGATTTCTTGTTCCAAGTGACTATCTATTATCTGACCTGCATATCTTATTCATACACAGATGCATGTAAAAAATGTTTGCCTCATGATACAGATTTGTTTCTTTTTTTCCTTTTCCTTCTTTTTTCCTTTTCCTTTTTTCTTTTCTTTCTTTTTTTGCTTTCCTTTTTTCTTTTACTTTTTTCTTTTTTCTACAGTATAAATAATTTACTTAGAATTGATTAGTAAACAAATATCCATTTAATTCTATTCAGAACAAAATAAGAAAATACTTTTATTATTAGTATCCTGTTAGTATCATTACTATTTAGCAATATATGATTTTAGACAAATGTTAAAGCTCATCTCCATAGCATCGAGGTCCAAAGAACGCCTGAATATTTCTCTGAAAAACTACCAAGTATTGAATATGTTTCGATGGTGGGATTTTGGGAACATTAAAAGTACACCTTTATGATTAATTGGACCTGTGAACTGTGACACATTTCTGTCACTGCACTTCTTGAGTGCAAATAGAAATGACACCAAATTCTACTTTATGACATGTTTAATGATTATTCTTTGTGGTATTTATGCAAATATATTTGTATATGGTTAATTTGAAGTGTAACACCCCTCACTCAGTTTGCATTAAAAATTTCCAGAATACATAAATTTACGTGTAATTGTACATGCTCCATTTGAATATGGCTTGATAAATTTGATAAAATCTACTGTTTTGGAGTTATCAACAGTGAAATTTGGGATTCAATTGCATCGTTGGCGGCCGCCATTATTCACCTTGTTTGCATATATTTGCTCACATGTGGGTGACTGTGGAACATGAGTATATACATACACATATTGACAAAAGCAAGGAACTACGCACGGGCACGCGCGCAAACCCCAAGTATATGTATGTGTGTGCATACTGATTCCTTGTAACTTAGGAAATATATATATGTACGTACGTATGTGTGTGTGTGTGTGTGTGTGGACATATACTGATTCCTTATAATAGGACAGTATGTGTATGTAGAGAGGAAGTGCACGTATACATGCGTATTGTTTATATATATATATATATATATATATAGTCATAAACAACGCGCATACGTGTGAACGCTACACAGCATAGGAAGTGTATGTACAAATCTGTTTACTAATTCCTCGTAATAAGACAGTGTGTATGTATGGAGAGGGAATATACATATACGTACGCAGGCAGAAAAAAACACTAATTTGAAATTTCAATTCTAATAAAACTGGTTATAAATTTTCAGAATATTTTTTCTCCTTAAATGAAATCCGCTTTTCATATAGTTTCATTACTTTCTAGCTTCATTTATTTTTCTCTCAAAATGTTTGTCTCTGATTATTGGCAGATGTCTTGATTGCAAATGTCTCTGATTATTGGCAGATGTCTTGATTGCAAATGTCTCTGATTACTGGCAAATGTCTTGATTGCAAATGTCTCTAATGATAGGCGAATGTCTCATATTATTGGCAGATGTCTTGATTGCAAATGTCTCTGATTATTGGCAGATGTCTTGATTGCAAATGTCTCTGATTATTGGCAGATGTCTTGATTGCAGATGTCTCTGATTACTGGCAAATGTCTTGATTGCAAATGTCTCTAATGATAGGCGAATGTCTCATATTATTGGCAGATGTCTTGATTGCAAATGTCTTTGATTAGTGGCAGATGTCTTGATTGCAGATGTCTCTGATTAGTGGCAGATGTCTTGATTGCAGATGTCTCTGATTATTGGCAAATGCCTTGATTGCAGATGTCTCTGATTATTGGCAAATGTCTTGATTGCAAATGTCTCATATTATTGGCAAATGTCTTGATTGCAAATGTCTCTAATGATTGGCAAATGTCTCATATTATTGGCAGATGTCTTGATTGCAAGTGTCTCTGATTATTGACAAATGTCTTGATTGCAAATATAAATCTGATTCAAAGCAACACTTCTTTAAAGATTCTAAGTTTTCCTTCCATTTGATTTCAGTGAAATCGACCTTCTTGACTGGGACAACCTTCTGGAAGTAAGCATGAGTCTCCACAAAGTATTCAATCGTGTAAATGTTCAGGTAAGTATTGTTAGACAGAATCTTTCTAATACAAAGAATCCTATTAAACTTTTGCTGATTTGTTCATTTTGACGCCTCCAAAACAAAACTGCTATCTTTTAATCATCTGAGAGACCCATTTTTACTTTTTATCAGTATGGCTGATGCTAACCTCTAGGAGAGTAACTCATTGTGCCTTCTCGGGTTAACATATTCTGTTTACATGAAGTGAAATGATTATCTTGAATCAACTGGTAGGTCTACTGATAAGAAAGTTGGTTAATAGTGTCATTTTAGCCATTTTTTCTTGCCAGAATCTAACTTAATGCATTTATAAGTTTGCCATTCATCCATGCATTGAATATTACTTCCACATATGGTCTAGTACTTCTGCTATGTATTTAGAGTTTTGATAAAGTACAAAGTAGAATCTGCAATGTTATTGTCCCTGACCTGGCATTTTGGCTTCAGTCACTTTCTCACCACTGTAACATAGCTACCCCGTGGTTTTTCCTATAAATATTTTTGTGGTAATTGTTCTGATGTTCTTTCCTTTATGGTACCCTAATTTTATGAATTTAAGTGCATTACTAGATTGGCAACTAGGTCTGACCATTTTACAGTTAAAAATTTCCAGATATAACTGTAAGATCTATGATAAGTTTCTTCTCTTACACTTCTTGCTTCTGGAACACTCTTCTAGCCTCTTCTAGCCTCCCGCTTTCTAGTCAACTTAAATTTAATTGCAATGTCAATCGTTATCATCTTACTTCCTGCACTTTTATTGTTCTCTTTTGTTAGTAATGTTTTCTTTTTCTATTCTTTTATAGTCAGTAATCTCTTGCATCTTAGTGGCTTTATCACCTTGCTTGGGATGAAAAATCACTTACTTTTGAAAATATTATTCTTCATTTTAGGGAAAGCTAAGTGGAGTAATGGATAGCAGCTCAGGTTGAGGAATTGGAGAGCAGAGTTTCAATTCCAGTCGAATCCATTACATTCACTTATGTACTAATACCCTTGGAAAAGGTATGAATCCTCTTGAGCTACAAAGGACATGAAATCGTGGAGAACCATGATCGCCCACATTCTGAAGGGATCTGTCATGTAGAAGAATTAATAATAAATGATTCAATTACAAATCTTAAACACACAAACTGTCACTGAAAGACTTAAATAAAAATAAAATATGGCAGTCTCCTCACAGATGAAGAAGAGACTTGAGGCAACAGAAATGTAGTTCTACAGAAGGATGCTGAGAATACCATGGACTGAACATGTGAGTAACAAGGAAGTTTTAAGGAAAATGGAAACAAAAAGGACACCTATAGAATCAGAAAGAGACATTTGAAATTTCTAGAATGCATCATGAGGAAAGAGGACTTGGAAAATTTAACACTCACAGGACATATTGAAGGCAGAGGGAAAAGAAATCAATGAATCATCAATGTGTTTGTCTAAATGGATAGCAGAACAGGGATTAGGAGGGATAGCTAACAGACACACCTTACTAAGAGCTACAATGGATAGGAAGTTGTGGAGAGCTATGATCACTCACATCCAGAAGGGACACGCCACATAAAAAGTATTATAGATGGGAGACTGTTATATAAGGAACGCGGATATTAGAAGGAGTCATTTGCAATAAATGAGGGAGATTACATATAATGAACATTTTAACATATTTTACCCCCTTGAATTATCCCCCAAGTCAGTGTAAATTTTGATTTGATAATATTAATTTGCAAATTACCCAAACGTTTTCTTTTCTTTTCAAAATCTGACTTCTTATTATCAATGCATGTGTTGAATTATCTTACTGTTCACTGTCAAATATAATCGTTGGACAAGATTTTATTAACATCACATTCCACCATGGTTTTTTGAACAGGATTAGAGGTTTTTCCTTTGTTTCCTATTTAGGATTGGGTTTCTAAATTCTACTTCAAATCTATACTTTTAACATCTCTTAAATTGGAGTAGATAGGTTTGCCTATTATCCAGTTCACACTCCTCCTTGATTTTTAGAGATTTATCCTTTGTTTTTTGTCTAGAATTAGGTTTCCAGTTCCTTCTAAAGACTTTTCATTCTTTTTCACTCCCATTAGCCCCTTATATCTTAGGGGCATTATCACCTTGCTTGGAGTGAATGGATTAAAAAAAAAATAGTGTACTTATGGATCAGGCTCATAAGATTATAAAATGACTTGCTACTTGTTTCTATGACCACCATCTTCTCCCTGTTGCTCAGTTGTATTTGTGTTTCTTCGAAACTTACAGAACCCACTTGGGGTTTATGTTGATCAGATAATAGTCCCATTTTGTGGGGAAGGGGTTCACATAACCTGGCGTAACCAACCATTTGAACAAACCCTCAAAACCGCAATCACGTCTTATCATTCACTTCCACTCTCAGTAACCCCTTACATCTTAATGGCATTAATGCCTTGTTTGGGGTGAGATGATTAAAAGAAATAAAATAAAACAATATTTTGAAGACTCATATGACTGTGAGTAAAAAAAAAAAATGGCAAAAGTTATGAGAAAATGACACCATCCTTGGGCCCAGTGCTCACATGTTAAAATCATTTTGGATAATTATTTCATCATCAATATCTATAGCTATTGACATCTATTGTGTTTTTGTTTTTGCAGCTTCGGGGATGGGTGAGGTTGCTGTAGCCTAATAGTAAAGCATGCTTTGCTTGAAAGTGGTTTCTCAGATTAAAAAGAGAATACTTCTTAAGTAAGACTTTCAATCTCTGGGCTGGTAGAAATTAATTTCACTGTTAAAAGACCAATGATGTCTTCTCAAAGTGTTGTATCATTACAGCTTCAGTCCCACTTCATAGACAATATCAATGAAATACAATTTCTTTTTCATTTTATTATATAAGAGGAACAAACATAGCATCAATTCAAGAATGTAGCAGGAGGATGAATTTCAGGGGAACACATGCCCACTCATTGGCTTACTATCCGAGCACATGTGGCCTTAGTTTGTCTATGGAATCTGGGTGTGGAAAGCATGTAGACACTTAAACATTCTTCTAGCCTTCTTCCAACTTTGCACCATTTTGGTCTTATACCTGAAACTTAGACAAAGGCAATCCATCACAGTCAGAATCCCATGCCTATAAGGTTTTCTGACCAATCACCTGCAATCCTGGCCCAGCTTCCACATTCTGAAACAAAAGATGTCTGCACACTAAATATAACTAAATATATATATATATATATATATCCATACCTGTTGAAATGTATCATGTTTCTGTTTTAGACATATAACATCTGTGTTTAATCATCTTTATACAGCTTTAAGTGGCTTAGTTTTGAATTTAGAGTTGTCCTTTTAGACTGGTTGCCAATCACAGCTAGAGAGCCCAGTCTGCCCTACTATTTAACCCATAGCTGGTAGGAAAAAAGATGGATCCATACATTTTCCAGGATTATTTTTGTGTGTAAGTGAATGTAAAAACTCAACTGGAATTCAAACTTGGCTCCAGTCATTAATAATTATAATACCTGCACATCCACAAGTCATATATTTTAAACAAATGTATTGACAAAACATGTTTAAATAAAAAAAAATGAATGTATTGATAAAACATGTTTAAATAAAAAAAAAATGAATGTGTTGATAAAACATGTCTAAATAAAAAAATGAATGTATTGACAAAACAGGTTTAAATAAAAAAAAAAGATAAATGTATTGGTGTTTGTCTTGCAGACTGGAGAGATTGAACCTTTGGTGACAGCTCTCACAGAGGAAGAAGAAAATCAGATGAAAAACATGTTGTACAGAGTCAACAAAATTGCAAAGGTAATTCACAAATTTTTCTCATATAAATTTCTTCATGTTAAGTAGGACAATATGTAGCATCCTCATCAGATAACATCAATATGCAGTGATAACAGATAACTTTCATATACACATACACAAACTCATCATCTGAAAGACCTCTTTCTGCCTCCCATCGGCATGGCTGATGCTAACCTCCAAGAGAGCGACACATTGCACCTTCTAGGGCTAATATTCTCGGCTGATATGAAATGGAAAAACTATATTGAATCCATTGCTAGGTCTTCTGCTAAGAAAGTTGGTTTAACTGTGTCATGCTAAACAATTTTTCTCTCCTGAATCTATCTTGCATATCTATAAGTCTACCATGTCGTCCATGCCTCGTATATTGTTGCCACATATGGTCCCGTGCTCCTGCCATCAGATCTATACTGTCTTCCATTTTTTAATGAAAATATAACAATTTCATTTATATTTAAGGCAATTGCTTTAATTTGCTATTTTTTACATATGCAAATCTGGCTGATGATTAAATTCTCACAGGTGTATTATAATTTGTGATTGCCTCCCTGAACGCTTCAATTTTAACCTCTTCACTTGTCAAGTTATTATCTATCTTTGTTATCCATATAATCATTTTTCTACCACTTTCTCTTCCACTCATATCACAAGCCTTATCCAGTATTACCATTTTGTTGACTGTAACCCTCTGCCTTGAGTGACTCTTGAACTTTAGTTGGAAGAAAAGTCTCCTAATTGATTTCTAAAAAAATATGTTTAATGTGTACATGGTATAAAGATGTGAAGCTAGATGCAAAAACTGCATGACTAAATTAAATTTTGATATCTATGAGTCTTGGATCTGCACTTGGAAAATCTTGCTTCAGTCTAATTTGGTAGACCAGCATCTGGAGGGCTGTACAGATCTACATGGAAGTTATAATCCCAGTTGTAATGGGTGCACCTGAAGGCCCTATTTTCTGATTTTTCCTTTTTTTTTTTTTTTTTTTTTTTTTTTGTCAGTGAGTGCACATTCCTTCAACAGCATGCCTCAGCGTAAACAAACTCTTGATGTAATAGCAAATAAAAGGTAGCAACTGATGCATCTTACTATATTTGTTAACTCTTCCAAGTTAGCTGACTTTGTTATATGGAACTATTTCTTGTTACAAATGAAAATAATGACCATACTTTAGTTTATATTAACTAAATGTAAAAAAAATATTAAATTTGTACTCTGTAGATGTAATATATTCAAAAACCTGACTTGGCAAATAGTTGGGGTTGATGTGATCAAAGGATAGTTAGCAATATGTGGTCAGAGGAAGGCAAATCATGTAATTTGGTCATGTGATTTAAGTACATGTACTTTGGTCCTGGGACGCTTTATTACATGACCAGTAAGGATGTTTCTGTTTAAGCTATGAACAGGAAATAATTTTATTTAATTTTTTTTTCAGTATGCATCCCAACAAGGTGTGCGAGTAATGATTGATGCTGAACAAACCTATTTCCAACCTGCAATTAGTCGTCTTGCCATGGAGATGATGAGGAAATTTAACAAAGACCGTGCTGTCATATTCAATACATACCAATGTTACCTCAAAGTAAGTGATATCTCTCTATTATTGTCAAGCAGCAATGTATCATACATCATCAATAAATAGACTTTGAATTTGTGACACAGTGGATCCTTGCTTGAATTAGCTTAGGACACTCACAACCTCAAGTAAGCTCAAAATCATTTTATCTGGGATGGAAGTGTTTGATGTTTTATGACCAATAGTAAAATTTACAAGCAAGATATTCAAAGCAACCACCTGCTGTACAAAAGTAAAAAAAAAAAGGAAGTGAAGCAAATAAATAAAAACTTCGGAGGTCAAGTGCCACTTGAAAGGAAAATAAGGAGTTCCATTTCTAGGCTTATATAGGCAGAGTTATAGTTAGAAATGTCATTTACAAGCAACCCTTAGTGAGTGACAAGATGGGGGTCAGAAAGAAGCCAGATGCTATGCGGTGAGGAACTGTCCATTGTGATGTAGAGACAGTTGCATTCAAAATGAGGCAAAGTGGCAGTTAATGTTCTCACTGACCAAAGAAAAGATCTGGTCCATTAGTTTGTTATAAGAGATAACATCAATGAAGATATCTCAAATATCAGCTACCTACTTCCAGACCATGCCATAAAGATATCTCAAGTGTCAGCTAGCTACCTCCAGACCATGCCATAAAGATATCTCAAGTGTCAGCTAGCTACCTCCAGACCATGCCATAAAGATATCTCAAGTGTCAGCTAGCTACCTCCAGACCATGCCATAAAGATATCTCAAGTGTCAGTTAGCTACCTCCAGACCATGCCATGTGAATCCATGAATGGATAAATCAATATAATGAAGACTGGACTTGTGTTTTCTGTTCTCATCATGGTGTTATTACACCTTTTGTTCCATTGTGAATGTACAACAATCCCTTTCCCAGTTTTATGCACTCCGATGCAAATGTGAATCAAAAATAGGGGGAGGGACAAATTCTTAACGTCCTATTAACATAATTGTTTTTTTTTTGTTTTTTTTTGTTTATTTTGTTTTGTTTATTTTGTTTTGTTTTTTTGTTTCTAGTCCACATTAAACAACATCAAGATTGATCTTGACTTAGCCAGACGAGAAAACTTCTATTTTGGTGCCAAATTGGTTCGTGGCGCTTATATGGAACAGGTAAGCATTTTCATATTCTTATTTTTCACGTGAATATTTTTGGAGAGCATTTATCTTCCTGACTGTGGTTGCACTTCAGAGTCAAAAAAAACTTTTTTAGTTTTCTGGATCCCTAAAAGACAACCTCGATCAAGATATTGATTTTTCCCTACAGTATTAATTGAAAACAAAAAATAAATGGCTGTTTTGAAACACAAATTTTAAGATATCATAAATTGGCTTGAACACAACTTTTTATTTTATAGCAGGAGAGAGCTGGGGAAGAAAGGATTTATTCTCCTATTTACATTTCCCCCATTATAGGCATTATTATATCTGTAATATAAAAACATTGTATTTCACGGACAGAATGGAATGGCTGAAAGGGAAATGAATGACAAACATGCTTTGTTCTCAGAGAGGCTTTATACCACTAAGACATACACAAAACTATATATACATATATCTACACAGTGAGCAGAGTGTAAGGAGAAACAAAAAGATACATATAACATGGATACTTCTGTTTCTGGAGAAGCCATGTTTAAGACTCCAGATTCAAACAGGCCAGATTCATTTATGTCCCAGTTGAGGACATATTCCACAAAGAGGAAATGGCTATTCTTGAGTTTTCCATAATTGAGGACTGCAAGCCGGAGTTTTTTTCTATATCTGGGAAAGATATATTCCCAAAGTGAAACAGCACCATGGACTTGTAAACTGTAGCATTTGCTGGAGGCAGATTTAACCCCAGCTCCTTGGTCCAGGCTAAAAAGTAACTGCTCAATTTGTCTGTTATAAACAAACTGAATGATTCGCCACTGTATGAAGTGACATCACTAAGTGGTTGTCACATGACTTATCTCCACCAAAGGGAGATAATTGCCTTTTATATCCCTATAATTTTTTTTATTTATTTCAAAGTTAGCACAATTAAAATCAACACAGTTTTACTAACAATCTAACAGTAAATTTATTCAATTACTATCCTAGAAGTCACCTTTTGAGTGGACTTTAGGCCAACTCTTGTGGAGAGCTTTTGAGTATTTGTCCTTTTACTATCATAGTCCTATGTATATAAAAGTTATAAGATTTTAGGAATGATAAAATTATTTTATCTTTATTTGACACCTTAATTCGGCATAATCTTTCTTCATATACGCAACCAATCTCCATAATTTGTTTACATTTATTTTGCATGCAATTTTTATTTTCTTTTAAAATCACTACTCTTTATGATCCCTTCAAATAAATTCACTCTTAAAAGACATTAGGGAGCCCGAACTATGTAATATTTCAAATATATCACAGTACACGTGCTAGAAAAACAAAAAAATATATATGAGCAACGTACTGTGTCCTGCTTAAGTTTTGATTATGGTTTAATTAGATGATATCAATTCCAATTGCAAAGAAAAGTGAAATTAAAGTTTAACCTTTAATAAAGAATTGTTTTTTAAATCTTTCATTCCGTTTCATATTTAAATTTAACTTTTAAATGAGTTATTTATTTAATTTTTAATCACGTGTAACTACGGGAATTACTACCTGTTATTTCAGGTTGTTTGTGATTCGCCTAGATCAAAAAATGGATGGACGGACAGACGCACGTACACTGCACTTTATTTATATAGATGATAAAAACTAGGACCTCTAGAATCAAGAGAAGGTGTTTTTGATCTGGTCAACATGCATAAAAATAATTGATCAGTAGAGGTAGTCCAAATGAATATAGAGAAGGAAACAGGGTCTCAATGCTTAACTGCATCAGTTTTTTTTTGTTTTTTTTCCCCTGTAGTTAGTGAAAGTGTAAGGTCTTGCATCTTCCTGTGATAGAATAGGCCTCTTTTTATTATAACCCCACTTTCTGCATTGTCGTTACTGTTGTTGATTGTTTTTATTTCACCAATCTGTTGTACTCTGCCCAAACACTGCTAAAAATGTAGTATCTGTCTATATCTCTGAGATGAGGTATTATGATTACTTACATTATTCCAACTGTTATCCTCATCTTCATTGCCATATTCACAACATTTCAGCCATTGTATGCTCTGGCCTTTATGTCTATGTCTCTCTATATATCTGTCTATATCTCTGAGATGAGGTATTATGATTACCTACATTATTCAGACTGTTGTCCTCATCTTCTTTGTTATATTCACAACATTTCGGCCATTGTATGCTCCGGCCTTCTTCAGGTGATTGGAATTTCAAACTGAACCCTTTATTTCGGACACTGGGTTAGATTGTTCTAGTTCCACGCCTCTTCCAGATGTCTAAGTTATTTCCTTTGAACTCAACTCTTCAAATTTTTGGTTCACCACTGCTGTGGCCAGGTATTGAACTCACAACTCTTTGGGTCTAGTCACTGAATCTAACCAACGTCTTATCCACTGGGCCATTGAAGAATTTAAAAGTCTATAATGAGTAAAGAACACTGTAATGCCGTAACACAAGGGGAAATAGAAAAATTAGGCATGGCTGACCATACAGTATATAAAGACATTGGAACTAGAACACTCTACCCCAGTGGACAAAATAAAGGGTTCATTTCGAAATCCCAATCATCTGAAGAAGACCAGAGCATACAACAGCCGAAATGTTGTGAATATGGCATTGAAGATGAGGATAACAATCCGAATAATGTAAGTAAAAATGTAATATACTAGACATCATGAATTGGCAGCGTCTTTTATCTTCGTGGTCATTGTATATTAATATCATCAAGTGGGGAGGTAACCAAATTCTACAGGAATTTAGCCCAGGGACTCTGCAGACATGATAAGTTCTTAGCTGAAAACCAATTTCAAAGCACAAATCAACAAACTCTGTTGACATCTTAACACAGGGTTAATGATGACAAATTGAAGAATTTAAAAGTCTATAAGGAGTAAAGAACACCCTAACACAAGGGGAAATAGAAAAATTAGGCATGGCTGACCATACATTCCAGTTTAAAAGTTTGACGCCACCCCCAGAATTAGTCATGGGATGAAACTGACAGAAGAGTGAAGCCTTTTCATCGAATAAATGAAAAAGATCTCTTAGAGTAATTGAAAAAAGAATGGAATCAATTATCAATCTTATACTTTGAAAAAGTTTTGCAATGAGACCCAAAAATTTGTGTTACAGTAATCAAGGCTAAAGGAGGATATTTTGACGAGAGCAAAATTTAATCATAAAAAGGCTTTTGACCTGTAATGTATGTGAGTGTTATCACTTCCTCTGTCTTCTCTTCTTTCCCTAAAATCAACACTGGGAATTTTAAATTTAAAAATATCTTTTTTTTTTTTTTTTTTTTTTAATATGTGTTTTCGGTATATAATCTAGCTGATTTCAATTAGATTCTTTTTCTTTTTATTCTTGTTTCCTCCCACTCCCTCTCTTTCTCTCTCTCTCTCTCTCTCTCTCAAAGAAGTAAGAGGGTACAAATGAAAAGCTCAAAAAATTATAAGGTTTCTCATTTTACTGAAACTGACGTTGAACATATGCTACAGCTCAAAAGTTTGAAGCCACCCCCAGTATTAGTCATGGGATGAACCTGACACAAGAATGAAACCTTTCGATCCAAAAAATGAAAAAGAGCCCTTAGAGTCATTGACAAAAGAATGGAATCAATTATCAAACTTAGACTTTTAAAAACCTTTTGCAATGGATGCCAAAAATGTGTGCTGCAATAATCAAGTCTATAGGAGGATAATTTGATGAGAGGAAAATTTAAACATAAAATGTTTTTTTTCTTTTTGTCATCATAAAATTTCTAATAAAAAATCATGTCTCACTTTTTTAAAACATCAATAATAATTTTCTCTCATTTAAAGTACAAAACAGCTTCTTTTTTTTGGCTGATTTGAAAAATTAGTAGGTGATGTCCTCAAGCTTTCAAACTGTAGCATATATATATATATATATATATATATATATATATATATATATATATATAATATTAGTGGTAAATATACACATACATATGCAAAATATATAAATATATATACATACATACATATATATTTGTATAAAAAAAAAAATAATTCCAAGAGGATAGAATCCAGGTAGAACTCAATGTCCAGGACAGAGTAAGGATATAATAAAAAGGCTTAAACACTAATATTCCATGGTCATAATTTATTCCATTGGAATCGTAAATACGATAGGTCTGATGACTTGGATCATATTTACGATTCCAATGGAATAAATTATGACCATGGAATATTAGTGTTTGTTTTTATTTATTTATATATTATATATATATATATATATATTATATATATATGTTGTTGTTATTATTATTATTATTATTATATGAGTTTACATTCAAACATATGAAAACCACTACATAAATGTATTTACGTTTCAATGCATACCATTGCATCTCATTAGGCAGTGTCATTTTTAATTTGTTTATTTATGCATTCTAGGCTTACTTTACTAATCCTTCCAATCTCTGATCTGGTCAGATTTATAATTCTTGTAGGGAGTTTATTCTGGAACTTCGGTTTGTGATCTTTAAGTAGTTCATCGGATTCCTTTGTACAAAGTCTACCAACCCTATTGCTGATTTCTGTCTGTCTATATTTCTGAGATGAGGTATTATGTACACTATTTACATTATTTGGACTATTGTTCTCATCTTTGTCGCCATATTTATTACAACGTTTCAGCCATTGTACACTCCAGCCTTCTTCAGGTGGTTGGAAAAACTGAACCCTTTATTTCGCTCACTGGGGTAGACTGTTCTAGTTCCACATGGTTCTAATCTAGTTCTAATGGATGTCAGTTATCAGTTATCTCCTGTTAATTCCCCTCTCCAAGTTCTCCACCATCTCTTAACCAGGTATTGAACTCATACTCTTTGGGTCCTGTCACTGGATCTAGCCAACACATTATCCACTGTGCCATGTGTCCTTGAGGACATCTGTGTATGAATTTCCCCAGTGAGCAAAATAAAGGGTTCAGTTCAACATTCCAACCACCTGAAGAAGGACAAAGTGTACAACGGCCGAAACGTAATAAATATGGCGACCAAGATGAAGACAGTAGTCCAAATAATGTAAATAGTGCTGATTTTTAATTTATCAGTAATATTTTTAGAAGATGTGTTGATACGATAATTTTATAATTCTTGGTTAAATTATTTCTAAATCAATGCCATATAATCCTTAGGATGAAATTTATAAAAGTTTGTGGTTTTGTCAGATTTTACGAAAATTTGATCAGATTTAAACCAATGTATTCAAGTGTTTCTGGAATTGGTTTTTGTGTTTATAAAAAACAATGTTGTGAATAATATTTAAGAGATCCATCTCAAAGCCGTCTAAATGTCAGTGAGAGATGCAGTTTTTAAATGCTTAAATCCATACGTATTCATTGTGTTCAAAATGTACCAGTCCTTAAGAAAGAAGTAGGCTTTCCTTTCCATCTTGTCCTTCGTATTAAATCTTCAGTCTTTAGAACCAATTTCTCAAAATATTCCCATTTGTTTGCGATGGGAATGTTTTTTTTTGTTTTTTTTTTTTTTTTTTTAGCAAAATTCCAAAATCAATTCTATCCATGTTCGCGTATTAAATTGACTGTAAAAGTGCTTAACGTTATGAGGAGTGAATATCCAAACAAAGTGAGAACGAATCAAATATAAATTCAAACGTTCACAACATTCATTTGAAAATAGGGTTCAATACAATAATTCTCTATTATAGGATATTGAAATTCGAACCTCTGAAAACAGCTACATAAATCTATTAATGTTTTGATGAATATCATCGCATCTCATCAAGCGATGGTAATATATATAGATATATATAGATAGATATATAGATATATATAGATAGATATATAGAGATATATAGATATATATAGATAGATATATAGATATATATAGATAGATATATAGATATATATAGATAGATATATAGAGATATATAGATATATATAGATAGATATATAGATAGATATACATATAGATATATAGATATAGATACATATAGATATATAGATATAGATACATATAGATATAGATATATATATATATATATAAAAGTGTTGGTTGAGTGATCCAAAAAGTGACTTCCCCTAATGAGTTATGAGTTCAATACCTGGCCACAGTAGAGGGAACAAAAATTTGGAGAGTTGAGTTACTAAAAGGAATTATATCTGAAAAAGGCAGCAAGCAGCATAAATTTTTATTTTCCCTACGTCATAAAGTCAATTTATTAACCAGTAACAAACTTTTACCAAACAATTTTGGTATGCTTTTTAATATTTATTATACAGGTGGGAAGTGAAAAATTTTTCCTCGTGAAAATGAGCAATGATTTAAAAACAGTTGGGAAGCGCTGCTATAAATGATCGCCTGATTGCAACAGGGACATGTCCATTCATTTTGCTCCAGTCTAATATTTACAAACTTTCTAATATTTACAAACAATGTTCTTTCTTTCATTTCCACTACTTATATTCAAATAGGCAAAATGTTTTCTGAAGTTTCAAAATGAAGTATTTCCATATTTTCTGAATTGTTATCGGCTGATAGCTTCTATCCATAAATATTGCAGCAGTTTTTTCTTTTTTCTTTTCTTTAAATTCAGTTTCTATTTTTTATTTGTTTTCTCTATTTCTTTTCTTTTTTTCTTTTACATTCACTTAGTAATTTTCTTTTTGATTTCTTTCTACTTCTTTTCAATTCACTTGGCAAAGATAACCCTCCAAGAATATATGAATCAAAACATTGCATCAAAAACACAAATGGTTGAAGTCGAAAAATCGTCTACAATAATGTTTTTGCTTTGCTTATTCAATGTTTTCTTCTTTGTTTATCTGTCCACCTATTTTAAGTTAATAATCAGCAATATACATTTTCTTAAACCTACAAAACTATAGGAAGCCAAATGATTCAATTTATTAACGAATCTTTAATTAATTATTCTTCATTCCTGATTTCAGGAGAGGGAACGTGCCATGACATTAAATTATGAAGATCCAATCTGTCCAGATTTTGAAAGCACCAGTCAGAATTACCATCGTGTTCTTGAAGAAGTTATGGAGACTATTCCCAAAAGAGAACGTGGACAAGTTTCAGTCATGGTTGCCAGCCACAATGAAAAGACAATCAAATACACAGTAGAGGCGTAAGTCAACTCACCTTCAGTACTCTCACTGGGCTTGTTTCTCTAATATATATATATATATAATATATATATATATGGGTGTGTGTGTGTGTAGTAATCCATTGGTATAATCCATGTGAGTTCTATTAACACAACATAGAATTTAAAATATGTTAAAACTGACTCACAAAAGACTCAATGTTTATTTTCATTTACTAAAGGTATCTTAATTCCAATTGTAAAAAAAGTGTGTGTGTGTGTGTGTATATATATATATATATACACACACACACACACACACACACACCTCAAAGTATAGGATTGGTGTATAAAGAATAAATTCCAATAACCGACAAATACTATTCTTAATCATTTATTTGAAAATTATAACATAGAAATGTAATAAAATCACTACAAAAATAGCCATTGTGTTTCAACACTTCTGGTCGTTTCCCCTAGCGAAGGGTGTGTGATTTGAACCTTTTAAAACCCTTTATTCTACATTCAACACCATCACTTGATAAGTCACCAGAAGTGTTGAAACAAAATGGCTATTTTTGTAATGATTTTATGACATTTTTATGTTATAATTTTCAAATAAATGATATATATATATGGTGTTTGGGTTAAATTTGACATTTTTTCAAATTGGTTTGGAATATTTGTAGACCATGAACAGCAATGTGAAACTTGATTGTTACAGTTTTAGAATTGTCAAAGTTAACTAACATGGATTAGTGGAAGCCTCCTGAATATTGGTAATGGTTAACCTGCATTGTTAAAATTCTGCAATCATCATGGCTGCTCAATGCTTTTTTAACACCATGACACATTGTCATGTCAGGCATGAAATGGAGAACTGAAACAAGATCATAGCTTGTAAGAAAGAACACAGCAGAATTCATTCAACAACTGCAAGAAAAAGTGATAAAAGACCCAAGCAAGGGAACGCAAGCTTTGGCACGGGAAATGGGTGTTGCAATTTAACTAGCTATGCACCTTTTTTGAACCATGTATTGAGCACTTTCTTTTTAACATAACTGTTTCTCAGACAGGATAAACCATATCTGCAAAAATAGTTTTATTGTACTCTTCACTTATTTTCAGTAGAGCACTATATAACAGCATATTTTAATAACACATTACATACTTGCATAATCTGTGTATCATATTGCATACATACAGGTATACTTCTCCCTACGTTTTTAATTGGTTCCAGAGGTCATGACTTGTCAAAATAACCACACTATAAACCACAAATAAGCACTCCCCATTGCATATTACACTATTTATGATATGTACATACAGTATTCTGAATAAAATAATTAAATTCCACCTTATCTTCCAGTGATATAGCCTTACACTTAGCATTAGCACTTGCACTGGGACTTTTCTTGGGAGTCATGAGCAAAAATATATTCTAAATCACAATTGAAATGTAATTGAAAGCATGTCAATGGCAGAACACAGATGTAAACAAGTTTGAATTCAAAATTAGTGTTGGAGCAGAAAACAACGCTAGAGTGTCACCGGTCAGCAAGAATTTGAAATAAGAACATCTGTTGAACATACTTTATTATGCTACTTTTTTTCTTTCTTTCTTTTTTTTCTTTTTTTTTGATGATTTTATGGTATGTAATATATATATATATATGTATATGTAATACTATTTTTAAATATGATTTTATATGTCTTTATTGTCGTTTTATTGTTTTGACATTTCTAATATTTTTAATGGATGACATAAACTCAAGTAAAACAACCTTGGGCAAGTTTTATTTTTCCATATAATGTTTAAGAAAAAATGATGTATCTTCAAAAATAACTTAACTCAAAATGAATTAAGCTAAAATATCACTGTATAGACCTGTATGAACATCATTATATATATATATATATATATATATATATATATATATATATATATATATATGCATATCGAGGTGTGTACATAATGTATACACAACAACAGTTGAATAAATAATGGAAAGAAATACAATGCGAGAGTTTAAATTAGCATACTTTTTAAAGAACATCCCTGTACCTGCCAAGCATGAATACATGCTAATATTATTACACAAAATTGAACAGTTCCTTGTGAGAATAAGATGGAAGGCGTTGTCTGTCCTACATAAATATGTAAACAGCAAGGATGAGATTGAAAAA